GCCCTGGCCCCGCCCCGCCCCGCGCCGGGGGGCGGAGCGGGCGGTCGCACACGTGCAGTCCCGGGCGTGCAAACACGTGTGCCCGCACACAGGGAGCTCCGGGGCGCGGACACGCGCGCACCGCGACGCGCCCCGACACGGACACACGCACGTGCACACGGAAGCCAAGACGCGCGTGCGCGCGCACACGGCTCCAGGGCACACATGCGCACGCCTAGAACCCAGGCCGCGCGCGCACACACACATATGTGGAGCTCCAGGACACACACAGATGTGCACATGCACAAGGAACCCAGGATGCGCGCGCACACACGTACACATGCACAGAACCCCGGGACACACACAAGTGCACGCATAGAGAGGAGCCAGGACACGCAAATGCGCGCACACCCACACCGAGGCAAGTCAATGATACGTCTCATGAGGGCAACCAGCTCCCTCATACAGACCCCCACGTGGCAGATGTGCACGCGCACCCACACGCGGATGCACAGGGTCACAAATACAGACACTGCAACAACCACATGCCGGCACAGAAAGGTGCGCACTATTGTGACGCCAAACTTTGCCTACTTTAGCTTCACACAGACGTGTACACACACGCGGTCACTGTCCCATCCAAAAACGCTTTATCAGCCCCGCGAATAGTCGAGGCGAGCCTCGGTGCCGGAGCCCGTAGGAGTGGGCGCCCGGGTCTCGGCTCCGCCGGGCGCTCGGGGCTTTAGCCCCGCTCCGGTCAAGCTGCGGGGCACCAAAGAGCCAAAAGCTGCTCCCCTCCGTGGGTCAAGCACACGCACTGCCAGGCCTGCGCATACACCCACAGCCACCCGACGCACGTGGAGCCGAGGCTGCCCTCTTCCCCTCCTCCCCTGCCTCGTGCTAGTCTTTTGGCCCCTGGACCCGCTCCAGAAAAACGAACCGCCAGGCCCTGCTCCCAGGCCCAGGCCCAGGCCCGAGCAGGGCTGGAAAGCCTTTGCTTGTGCAGGGAGCCTGCGGGCACAGGCAGGGAGGGAGGGGGAAGCCAGGCTTGGCCTTTGTGAACCCACCGGGGTGCCTAAATCCTGGCCCAGAGGCACCAGCTGCAGAAGCGAGACAGGACGCGGAGTTTCTTCAGCCTCGGGCACCTCTGCAAGGCCCGTGAACCCCGGGGCCATGGCTCGGCCCCGAGCCCGCGTGCACCAGCCCACATGCCGAGACCGGGGGGAGACGCACCCAGCTCCCCTGGGCAGAACCAGCTGTGCCGGGGACGGTGTCCAGTCCCAAACCGGATTCCCGCTGGGCAGCGAGAGGGCCGGGCTAATCCCCCGAGCAGTCCCGTCCCCCGGGGCCATGGATTTATGACAAAGCACTGAAGGGTTTCCAGCCTGACGCGTTACCGGATGAGCGGAGACTGCTTTGATCTCTCCTGACCAGGGGCCCCAGGCGCGGGGTGGCTGGAGCTGCCCGGAGCAGCAGGGCGGCGAACGGCATTTTCAGTTTTCAAAGCGTTGAAGTTCCCCGCAGGTTTAGCGACTGGGGGGAGGCTCACCGCCGCGCAGGGCCCAGTCAGGAGGGCACGGGCCACAGCACCTGGCCGCATTCCTCATCCTGGATGACAGGGGGGAAACAACATTGGGGGGGAAGTGCAGAAGCAAAGGTCCAAGCCAAGGTGGCAAGGCACACCCGCCTCGAGGCTGGTGCCA